ACAAAGACGTTATTGATTTCATTCTTATAACAGGACCATCATCATTGCCCAAATACCCATGCCAATCATCATTTCAAATAAAAGCCAAACACACTTATACAGAATAGCCATACTAATACATAGCGTGCAATGTAGGTTGCTATCAAGTATCATATCCATCCATATTTGCATCAAGTATCATAATATATGGATATATAAACCATCCTCTTCAATGAGTAAAGTCAACCACACCGTCTTCACCCTCATTAGCTATTTCATCACCATCCTCTTTAATGAAATTGTCCTCATGCAACAACTCATCTCTCGGATCTTCTATGACGTTATAGTTAAGAAGTATAGTGTAGGACCTGAAATAGATACACTAGAACACTAGAAGAGGGGTGAATAGTGTTCTTTTAAAATATATGCAAAGTAGATTATAAATTGCAAAGAAAAATGGTAATCTCAGAAATTCACAATCACAAACACAAAGTTTTATACTGGTTCCACCAACCCGGTGTACATCCAGTCCCCAAGCAAATCCCGCTTGAGATTTCCACTATGATTTTGAATAAACTTACAAAATCAAAAGCAAACCTGACCAATTTGCAAGACCATGCAAATTGCAACACCAATTGACAAGACCATGCCAATTGCCACCCAATCTCTAAACCAAGAGATCAACCCTCTCAAACCCGAGAGAAATCCTTTTTGAAGCAAGAACACAATTGATCCTATAAGCCTTGAATGTGTAGTGAAGTGCTGCAGTGGCTTAGGATTCTTTTAACTCTCTGAATATTACCTATACAATCTCTAAGAATGATTGAAACCAAGGCAATATCAGAAACTCTCTTTTTCTAAACACTTAGCATGAAAATCTGGAAAATTAGAGAGTGAATATGCACAAAATGTTTGATCTTGCAAGTTCAAAACTTGGTTGTTGTTTTCTGATGTTTAAACCTATTTATAGCCTCTGAAATGACATAATTTTAAACCCAATTAACGTCCACAAAACGGCTATAAACAGTCACTTATTTTAAACCTGAAATCTGGAAAAACTGCATCTGTAGTCGACTACAAGTCATAGTAGTCGACTACACTGAGTCTAAACAGACTCTGTGAAGTCAGAAAATTGCTCAGTAGTCGACTACAAGGCATAGTAGTCGACTACACTGTAAACTCAGATTCTGGAATTTTTCTGTTTAGTATTTTGACTATAACTTTCTCATCCGATATCGGAATGAGGTGATTTAAGATTTGTTGGAAAGCTCTTGAAGAGACCTACAACTTTGGTCTTTTGAGTTTTTCCAGATTCTAATTTCTAAGGGGTGTAAATGAAATGTTTTAAGACTCACTTAATATCTATAAACTCTAATGGCTAACATAGGGGATTTCTATTGTTAACCAACACACTAAGCATGTGTTAGTGTGTTCTAACACTATGTGTGTGCATGTGTGTGAGTGATCAAGGCTTGTACAAATTTCTAAGCAAAGAAAATATAAAATTACATTTTGACAATAAAGTATATCTTCTTCTTTGCTTCATTTTGCCTTGAACTCATCTATGTCTTGAGTATCTCTTTGAATATAATTGTTGATATAGCTCTGATACTGCAAAACAAATGTTAGCACATAATACACACAACATATAATATTTGTTATCATCAAAACAAACTAATCTTGGGGTCAAGATTCCTAACATTCTCCCCCTTTTTGATGATGACAAATATATGTTATTAAGATATAAAAATTTTAATCCCCCTGCATGAAATCATTAAATAAAATCTTTTACTCCCCCTGCATCAAAGCATTAAAATTTTCTATATAACTCCCCCTTTGTCATTAGCAAAAAGAAATAAACATAATTCTAATTAAAAATTTCTTTTCTTGGGTACCTTAATAAAAATATCAAGCACTTTGGTACCCTTTTATATTATATCATTAGGATTAGCCCTTAGGAATCCAAATCCACTTGGAATTTGGTTTCCATTTGTTAACATAAGTGTAATTCTTTGAATTGCAAACTTCATAAATATAAGATGAAATATAATAATTCCTATCATGAATATTCAAATTCTTAGGAATCCATATATACTTATTTTGTTTAGCATGAATATTCTTATTATTATTCTTCAAAACATAATCATTCTTTATAAAATACTTAGGAACAAATCCAATGCCAAAATGATTGTTTGAAGATTTTTGAAATGAGAGCAAATTATTCAAATTCTCTTTACTTTTATTGAATTTACTAACATTCAAACATATATCATCATATTTTAATTTAATAGAAGAAATATCTTTATCTAAAACATTAATGCGGATTTTTAAATCATTGCATTCTGATTTTAGATAAACATTCTCATTAGTCAAAATATGATTTTCTTTAAGCAAGGATTTATTTTCCTCTTTCAATTCAATTACTTGAGAATTAGAAATAGTAGAAGAATTAAAATCAGAAATTTCTTCAAGTAATCTTTTATTTTCACCTTTAAGAAAATTATGTGAAGCCTTTAATCTCAAAAATGTTTCATATAATTCATTGAAAGCATCTAATAATTCTTCATTATTGCATACCTCATCTTCTTGTGCCATGAAGCACATGTGAGTGGATTCCTCCATCTTTCACCTTGCTCTGATACCAAAAGTAGGGTCCTGTTTTGCTTATGTATACCAAGTGTAGGATCGTGACCCTTAAGAATAGAGTGCGCTCTTATAAAAATCTGCAGAAACTTTACACTTAAACACTAGAGGGTGAGTTTTCAAAGTAGATTATAAATTGCAAAGAAAGAATGGCAATCTCAGAAAATAAACATCACAAACACAAGCATGTATACTGGTTCCACCTCCCCGGTGTACATCCAGTCCCCAAGCAAATCCCGCTTGAGATTTCCACTATGATTTTGAAACCTTACAAAATCAAAAGCAAACCTGACCAATTTGCAAGACCATGCAAATTGCAACACCAATTGACAAGACCATGCCAATTGCCACCCAATCTCTAAACCAAGAGATCAACCCTCTCAAACCCGAGAGAAATCCTTTTTGAAGCAAGAACACAATTGATCCTATAAGCCTTGAATGTGTAGTGAAGTGCTGCAGTGGCTTAGGATTCTTTTAACTCTCTGAATATTGCCTATACAATCTCTAAGAATGATTGAAACCAAGGCAATATCAGAAACTCTCTTTTTCTAAACACTTAACATGAAAATCTGGAAAATTAGAGAGTGAATATGCACAAAATGTTTGATCTTGCAAGTGCAAAACTTGGTTGTTGTTTTCTGATGTTTAAACCTATTTATAGCCTCTGAAATGACATAATTTTAAACCCAATTAACGTCCACAAAACGGCTATAAACAGTCACTTATTTTAAACCTGAAACCTGGCTGAAATGACATAATTTTAAACCCAATTAACGTCCACAAAACGGCTATAAACAGTCACTTATTTTAAACCTGAAATCTGGAAAAACTGCTTCTGTAGTCGACTACAAGGCATAATAGTCGACTACACTGTAAACTCAGATTCTGGAATTTTTCTGTTTAGTATTTTGACTGTAACTTTCTCATCCGATATCAGAATGAGGTGATTTAAGATTCGTTGGAAAGCTCTTGAAGAGACCTACAACTTTGATCTTTTGAGTTTTTCCAGATTCTAATTTCTAAGGGGTGTAAATGAAATGTTTAAGACACACCCAATATTTATAAACTCTAATGGCTAACATAGGGGATTTCTATTGTTAACCAACACACTAAGCATGTGTTAGTGTGTTCTAACACTATGTGTGTGCATGTGTGTGAGTGATCAAGGCTTGTACAAATTTCTAAGCAAAGAAAATATAAAATTACATTTTGACAATAAAGTATATCTTCTTCTTTGCTTCATTTTGCCTTGAACTCATCTATGTCTTGAGTATCTCTTTGAATATAATTATTGATATAGCTCTGATACTGCAAAACAAATGTTAGCACATAATACACACAACATATAATATTTGTTATCATCAAAACAAACTAATCTTGGGGTCAAGATTCCTAACATATAGCACATGCAATAATTATATCAACTTGAGTTAGGAAAGGGTAATGTGGCTTTGCAGATAGGATTTTAAAATGATTTTTCAATATCCCAAAAGTTAATTCAATTTTAGACATTAGAGATGAGTGTATTAAATTGAAAAAAATTCTTATCTATTATTGATAGGCCTCCCCTTGAGTTCATTTTAATGATAACACACTCCTCAATTTGACCAGAAATTCAGCGATTTGAGAAGAAGAGTGGTAGGATTTTGGAGCAGGAACTGGACGCGAGGGATAAAAAAGAGGAGGGAGTATACTGGAGGAGGCGGTGAAAATAAAGCCCTCTTTCCTAAACCTAGCAAAAGAAAAGGAGATGCGGTATCTAACATGGAGTGGGGTGTCAGATATAACACCGCAAATCCTCTCCATTTGATAGATTTTGCAAATCCTAACAATGGATTCTTTTTTGCAATTTTGGAATTCAATATTCCAAATTTTTTTTGGAATCAAACATAAACTATGGAATCCAACTAACAAAAAATTATTAAATTTTCATCCTAAAATTTGGAATCCACCCAAAGACCAATTTTTTTTGTGTGTGAAACAAACACTACCTAAATATTTTGTGGATAGGATAAGCGAGATGCAAAATATCGGTTTAATCAATACGGGTCGAATAAATCCGTTATCGGACTCGTTCTCACATCCTACCCGACCCAACTCAAGCGTCCATCTCAACCACTCGCCCGACCTCACGTGCCAATCCCCACGCAGTCATCAATGGTCGCGCGTTTCCGTCATCAATGGACCCTTGACAACTTCCCCGTACAAAATCACGCGACGCCGCATACCGCCACGCGTACTCTCCATGCTTCCAGAATAGCCACGTGTCCGTCTCCCGTCCTCATTTCCCTCATCCCGAATCCTCCCGTTGGTTGAGAAAAAGAATAAAATAAAATTTCTATTTATTGCAAAAGAAAATTTCCCTTTCTTCTCTTATTTCTGTTTGGTTCCTTCTCTTTTCTATTTTAGAGGCGGTTCATCCAACCATCGTCGCCTCTCAAAAACTAATCCCAAAATTCAGCGTCACCATTTCCATTTCCCCTAAAATTTCAATAAAAATCTCATCATTTAACTATTAATTCGTGAATTAAATTATATGATTTGCATCGGTGCGAGCATTCCAAGCGCTCGAATCCTCCATCATCAACAAATTCAAGATAAAGAACATATTTTGAGGAGTAAAAGCTCGTACCTGCGATCACCAGCGACGACGACGGTGAGAATACCGGCGATCGAGATGGAGTCCACGTCGAAGGCGTCGGCGATCGCGTCCACGCCGTTGATTCTGACCTCAGGCGCCAGCGGTCGGGTCACCGCCCTCTTCTCTCTCCGATCGCTAAGAAGCTTGCTGCTTTTGTTCAATAGCTTTTTGCTTTTGCTTTTGCTGCCGTTTCGGCGGAGGACGATAGCGGTGTCGGAGAAGTCGGAGGGGGTGGTGGTGAGAGTGCCGGCGGCGATGGTGAGGAGGACGAAGGAGAGCGAGGCGGCGGCGAGGAGAGCGATGGCGATTAAGAGGTTGAAGGAGATTGAGGAGGAGATGGAGGAGACGAAGACGAGCTCGAAGGAGTTCTCGCTGATGTCGACGGTGAGAGGGGATACGATATTCACGAGGTCGTGGACGCCGATCGCTTCTAAGATCAAGTAAGCTTAATCGCCGTATTTCTTCTTATTTTTTAATTCCCTTTTTCTTTTCATTTTATGGTCTTTTTTTTTTTGGAATTTTCAGAAGAAATTATTTAGTAATGGTTTGTGTTCATTGTGTTTTTACTATGAAAATTCTTTATGGAAAATAACGATAATATTTTGAAATTTATTTGTAATTTTTCGTTGAAAATTGTAAATTGTAAATTTGCAATTATAAAACTGTTCTAGAGGCAACTTTGCGAGCACGCCTCTCTTGACCCGGCTTCTAAATGCAGCTTGAATTCAAGAGGAGTGCACTGTACGTAGAGAAAAGCTGTATTATTTTTGTTGTTTATTAGCAGAAGAATTGGTCAATTTTGAACTGCAACATTTCTCATTTAACTATTTTAATTTTTAAGCGGGAGCTGTTGCAAATTTATTGAAAATTGCTGGAAATTTTAATGTTAGGCTTGTTTAGAACCAACCTCGTTAAGTTGGAGACCCAATTTGCATGTTTTTTAAGGTAATTTTACAAATACGAACACTTGGAGAATAATTTTCGAGTATGAAAGATATGAGGGTTATATACACATAAACCCACTTGTTTTATTAGCGGAAGGCGTAGTCAATTTTGAACCGCAAATTTTAGATCAAGGATGCGACGGCAAATGACGCTTTTAAGCTAAACCGACAGTTGATTTAGACCCGCGAATAAAGGGCGGTCACTTTATTTGGAGTCTAATTTTTTTTTCCGTTCATTAATGTTGATGTCACTACAGTTTAATAATCATGTGAACTTTTTGAATTCTTTTTCTTTAAAAAAATGTTCTTCTACTCTCTTGATGTCAGCTTGACCCTTACAAATAAAGGAGACAAAGTAGTTCTGATTCTTTAAAGACTAAAGTGTTTAAACGAAGTTTTTATCTTGTACCGTAGAAATTGGATTTTTGGAAGAGATAGATGTAGAAAGATAAAAGTGATAACTTTTGGATCATTGATGGGCTAAATAGCAGTTAAATACCCTATAGTTTCATTCACTCTGTATTATATACCCTCACTTATTTTTTTGGCATTTATATGCTTAAGATGTTTAAAATCAATACATTAGTATCCTCTATTATGTAAATATGAAAATTTTCACCTAAATATTATCATTTTACACTTGGAATTAATTAACATTTTAGTGCCATGTTAGAACATTCTGATGAAATTCTGCACGTTTGCATTGTATAGGGTATCCATTTCAATTTTAAACAATTTAGAGCACATAACTGCAACCAAAAGAGGGGAAATAAACCGAGAGTACATAAATGAACAGTGAGTAAAACTATAAGATATCTAAGTGCTATTTAGCCAATATTGATGTTATTATCGTCGTTTAGAATAATTTGTCGCTAGTCGCTTTCTCGAAGGATCTACGCCACAAATTTGAAGACCACTTTGTGCGATTTCGTCGTGATAGAAAAATTCTCCACACGGCCGACAGAACATTCTGCTTGTTGATGTGCGAGCAAAATTGTTAAAAAGCGGGAAAAGATATCGGTCCCTGACTGCTATCATGTCACATCAGCATCTCTGAGGTTGCCCACTAGCATTATGTATGGCACCAACTTTGGATAGGCCCATAATTTGGGCCTCTATGGGCCTATTGTCATTGACCTTTGGGTACCATATTATACACGGATTTGTTCAATCTGCAGCTCCACTCTTCATTGATATCATTGAGTGTTCTTCAAATCTGTGGCCACTTTTAAGTAATTGAGCCATGAACAACATACCCAAATCTTGAATCATGTGTTTAAGAAATCATAGGATTTAGGTAATATCCATTAATATTTGCGCTGTTACTTGTCACATAGTAGTATATGAATGTTCAGCGTTGCTGTATTATATCTGCCAATGAACATCTGTATTTCTTTCGAAACTCTTTCTTGGAATTTAATAAAAGCTATGGCTTCGTTTAGATACCATGGTGTTTTTCTTGTTGTGTTTTTGTAAAAAAACACCATGATGTTGTATTTTTACCTTAAAATATTTTCAAAACACTACGTTAAATATTTTTTGTCAACACTAGTTTGACCCATTATAACATTAGTATTAAACATATTATTAATATATTATATATTAATTATAATAAAATATATTGTAAATAAAATGTTATAATATTTAGTTTACATTATTATAGTATTATAAGTATTAAATGTAATGTAATATAATATTGTATAATGTATTATAATATTATATTATACTTAATGAGTTATATTATATTATATTATAATTTAATAAATTTTTATATTATAAATATTATATAATATATTATAGTTTTTAATATGTTAGAGTTTATTAAAAGTACTTTAATAATATATTAGTATTTATGATATAAACAAATATTATTATATTATGAATATATTATTTTTACATTAACATTTGTTAGCAATACTTATTTTATTATTAAAACTATTTTACTTTATAATAAATTATATTATTATTCCATAATATATTAATATATTATATATAATATTGCATTTACTATACAACATGTTATTATAATAATATTATTATATTGTTATGTTATTATTAAAAATGTTACTATTATCTAATATTTTATAACTATTAATTTATTACAATTTATTTATTAAAAAGTTATTAATATTATTACTGATTATACTATTGTATAGTATATTATTTATTTATCAATTATTATATTATTATTTATTATCAATAACTTTATTAATTTTTTATTAGCTTATTATATTTATTATTATTTATTTATTATTATAATACGTTATTAACATATTCAATATTGGTCATTATATTTTATTATAGTATTTATAAGATAATTTATTTATTATTTTTTTATATTAATTTATAATATATACTTATAATATATTAAATTAACCTAAGATATAGGTATGTATAGTATAGTATATATAATATAATAATATAAATATACTAATATCTAATAGTATTTAATAATGTTATTTTATTATTAATATAATATTATACTATTATTAATATAGTATAAAGTATAATAATATAATATTATACTATTATTCATATAATATACTATTATTAATAATGTTAATATTATGTTATTACTAGTATGTTATTAATTAATAAATTAATATATTATAAATATTTTAATATTATATAAAATATTATAGTTTTTAATATGTTATAATATAATAAGCATGTTTATAATATAGTATAGTATAGTTTATTAATAGTACTTTAATAATATATTAGTATTTATGATACAAATGTTTATAATATAATAAGCATGTTTATAATAACTCTATATTAACTGTATTTAATATATTATGTTAGATATTATATTAACACCTTCTCAAACTCAAAACCAAAACACCAAACTTAAAACACCTAAAAGGTGTTTTGAGATAAGTGTTGTGTTTTTGGTTTGAGAATGATCAAATGTATGGTGTTTTATTTTTATAAAAAACACCATGGGAACAAGTAAAACACCATGGTATCCAAACGGATATATTTCTCTGAAAAAGTTTCCTTGAAAACCATCTCAATGAAGTTTGCTTATGATTTTCATTTCTTTTTTAGAATATTAATTGTATTAATTATTCTTTAGCTCTGTTCACCATGGCAGCTGATGAGAAATTATTTCTATTCTTTGTAGGGGGCTGGTTGTCGTTATGCATGGTTTAAATGAACACAGGTTTGTTTATTTGTTTTCTCGCGGCATGTGAAGTTTAAGATTGTGCAGTAATAATTGTAATACTTACAAGTTTGGTGATTTTTGTGTTCTGCAGTGGAAGATACAATTATTTTGCTAAGCAACTAAATGCCAGTGGATTTAAAGTTTATGCTATGGATTGGACTGGTAACCTCTAGTCAAATAACCATATTTTTGAACTTTATTTCTTGGTCTCTAATATTGGTTGTAAATAGGAAAAAAAAGTTTTTGGATAAAGTAAAAGTCTAAAGTCTTTTTATTATATTGCATGTGGTCTTCTCTTCGAACATTTGCAAAACCGAACTTCATTTTGGAAATGATTGTTTCATCAATGATCATATATGGGGATTGCATGACTTTCTAGACAAAAGAGGTTCTCTCTTATAGGATACCCTAAATTTTTAGTTACCATCCAATTTGAATTTGGAGATCTTATCAGGTTAAGATTATTCACATTCTTAAAGTTCCTAACCATTACACCAAAACTCTGAAGTTGTGGTGATGGTTGATGGTTATATTTTTACTAGCATATTAGTACGTGCACATACACGTTCTAGTAATGTTAAATTTTTTTATTAAAATACGGTCCTATGTTTTAATTATATTATTATCATTTAATGTGTATTTACATAGTTTCTAGTAAAATATCTACGTGCATAATTCACGTGATTAAATTAATAAGAAATTTCTTATCATTTAATGTTGTATCATGAGGATATATTAATTTTACATTGAAGTAGCAACAACTATTCTACGTCAGGTAATTCATCAAATCTTTCTAACTTTATTGCATCAAGGTAGCGAGTAAAGCCCTCGTCAAAACTTTGAAGTTCTGGTGAGAATTGAGGGTTATATTTTTACTAGCATATTAGTACGTGCACATACACCATCCAATTTGAATTTGGAGATCTTATCAGCTTTAGATTATTCACATTCTTAAAGTTCCTAACCATTACACCAAAACTCTGAAGTTGTGGTGAGAGTTGAGGGTTATATTTTTACTAGCATATTAGTACGTGCACATACACGTTCTAGTAATGTTAATTTTTTTATTAAATTACAGTCCTATGTTTTAATTATATTATTATCATTTAAGGTGCATTTACATAGTTTCTAGTGAAATGTCCATGTGCCTAGTTCACGTAATCAAATTATTAAGAAAATTCTTATCATTTAATGTTGTATCATGAGGATATATTAGTTTAGATTAAAGTAACAACAACTATTCAACATAAGGTAATTCATCTAATCTTTCTGATTTTATTGCGTCAATGTAGCGAGTATAGCCCTTGCCAACATGGAATATGCCAAGATCTAGTGCAAATAAATATTGAAAATTGCAATCAAAATCCACAAGCTCCAAACCAAGAACATAAATAAGATGACACAAGTGTTTTACGTGGTTCAACACAATGGGTACATCCACGGTAAGGCAAATCAATTACCATTCCACTATTTCAACAACAATATACATGATTTGGGGTTCATGAGAACACTCATCAATTAGTTGAATACACCAACCAACAACCCCGCTCTACAACACTAGTAGCAAGAGAAACAACACACCAAGTCAAACAATTGAAATCTCCACTTGAATACCCAACAATAATCCAAAGACAAGAAGAGGGTTACCATGAGTTGCTAGAATTACAAAATCACAATGGGTGATAAGAACACCTTCTCCTCCTTTGATTTTCCCTTGCCAAAGAGTCTTGATCCACACACAAAAGCTTCTCTCAAAACCTCCCCTTGTTCCTCCTTTTCTTTCAAATCCTTAGAAGAGAGCAACTATTGAGATAGAGAGAAATAACCCAAGGTTAGGTCAATTTTGTGTGTGCCCCTCTTCTCTTATTTATAATATGGCCCATAAAAACAAGAGAAAATAGGCGCGACCCATATATACCCTTATGGGCTTCAATATAACATGAAAAATAGTCCAAACATGTTGATTTAGCATCACTAAACCAACTCATAGTTATGAAAAGTATAAAAATTTTTAGTTCATACAACATATTTTTAATTATATATTATATAAATGTTAAACAAGACTCTCATTTGACCTATCTCACTACCTACTTTACACTGTGTTGCATTTTTGTCAATTATATAATTTTTAAAAGGGTTATGCATGAAATTTTAAATATAAGGAGAGGGAGAAATGAAACAGTAGAACATTCTAGAGAGAGGGGGGATGTATTTAATGATAGCAGAAATGGACAAAATGTCCACTCAATTCAATTTGTCTAATACAAATCATAAATTTCCATTAAAACTTAACCAATGATTGAGGACTTTTCAATCATTCCATCACTTTTGCCTACCCTCGCAAAGATTTTTAGAGTAGTGTAGATATTCTGACACACATGTTCCCTATTTTTCCTCAGGTCATGGAGGAAGTGATGGATTGCATGGCTATGTTCATTCCCTTGATTATGCAGTGAACGATTTGGTATTATGACTTAACATCTATTTCATAATAGAATAAAGAAATATAAGCTAAGTAGAACTGTTCTTCTGATGTAATACAAATTTGTTTGTGCACAGAAAACTTTCTTGGATAAGGTGTTGACTGAAAACCCTGGATTGCCATGTTTTTGCTTTGGCCATTCCACAGGTGCAGCCATTATCCTTAAAGTAAGTTTATCTATCATATTCAGATGCTTAACATTTGATTTTAGTTTCGTGCTCCTGCTGCTAATTTATTTTTGAATATTTGAAGGCCGTATTAGATCCGAAGGTTGAAGCTCGAATTAGTGGTGTAGTATGCACATCCCCAGCTATTGGTGTTCAACCATCTCATCCTATTGTTGCGGTGAGCATACGAGTTTTGGATTTATCAGCAAGAATATGAGTATTTTAAACGTGTTCCTTTGATTATGGTTTTGGAATTACTATTCTTGAAATGTAGTCAGGTGCTTGGTTTATTTTAATAATGTATCCAGCAAATTCTTCCTTAATACAGCCATCAATGGCCTTTTTTTTGTACTTTTCTCAGAGGGCTTGCATAAGTTGAATCGGAAGACTAAGAACTTCTAGAATCTGTCCAATAACCTAGTTGTCCGTCATTGCACTCTCTATACCTTTGTTCATAAATTCATGTTTCAAAGAAGTTTTATGCTTATTTCCTGTTAGATGATGCGATCAATTTCCATTTTACAGATAGAACTTTAATATTTTCAAATTGGTAAGGTGTGTTAGGAATAGAGCTTTTGGAAGAAAATAGACTTATTTTATTCATTGTATTGAAAGATTTAAATAAAAGAGCAAGAGAAGAGGTTTTAGTATTCTAGGCGTTGTGGGACTAAAGAAAGAGACAATATGCCCAATAACTATATTTAACATCTCCGGTCAAACTCACAGTTGGTAGAGAACCGAGAGTTTGGATAAGATGAGTCAAATTTGCATAGATGGTTATTGGCATGGCTCGACGAGAGGTGGTTGAATTAGAGCACATCGGTGGTTAGAATAGCAGGATGTGAGGTCATATTATTGCAATAGTGATCGACAGTCACACACCATAGTTGCAAGAGGGAGGACTTGCTATCGTGGGAGAAGGCATGGTAACTAGATCTTGCAAGCGACGAGGTATAATGTTGCAGTAGTGATTGGCGGTCACGCACAGTGGTCGCGAGAGGAGGCATGGTGACCAGATCTTGTAAGCATCGGTGAACGGAAAATGCTTGGTTGGAGAGGGCTTGGCTCGAGGCTAGCAAAGGAGGGAGAAATCTCGCTAACACTTCGTGTGCATGCGATGAAGCGGATGAGCAATATAATTATGCCAAGTGGGTCTAGAGAGATCTAATTGATAGGCTAAATAATTAGCTGAAGATTTATAAAGATCTAGTTGGTAAGCCAAATGATTAGCGCAAGATCTATGAAGATCTAGTTAGTAAGCCAAATGATTGGCGTAAGATTTATCAAGATCTAGTTGGTAAGCCAAATGATTGGTGTAAGATCTATAAAGATTTAGTTGGTAAGTCAAATGGTTGGCATAAAATGTATGAAGATCTAGGTTGAATCCAGTATCGAGGCCGCCGAGGAGAAGTGCGGAGTTTTTAGCAAAACCTCCTTAGTTTCTCAATGTAGAGGAAGAAGAAGGAGCTCTCTTTGGGATCAAGAGAATGTATCTGATATCATGTTAAGAATAGAGCTTTTGGAAGAAAACAGACTTATTTTATTCATAGTGTTGAAAGGTTTAAATACAAGAGCAAGAGAAGAGGTTTTAGTATCCCAGGCAATGTGGTGACTAAAGAAAGGATACAATACGCCCAATAACTATATTTAAGAAGGTGAGATCGGATGACTAGTTAAATTAAATTGACTAGGTTCAGCTATGTAAATATTTACATTGGTTAGGTTCGTGAAGAGTTTGATCGCGTGCACACTGGTTAAATTTTAGTAAGATTAGGTCAAGTTATTCAATATGATTAGAATATGAATTCTATCAGAAGCATCCCCATAAAAGCGGAATAGTTTACGTAGTATACAAAATAGATGAAATTCTCAAATTAACCTTTCAACCACCCGCACCATTAATGGTTTAAGTTTCCTTATTCTATGGGGGTGTTTTGATAGAATCTCTCATGGTTAGGTTAGGTTGTTCCTGACTTCATTGAAACCAAACAATCGAGGTTTTATTCCGGCTTTTCGACCATCTAACTTTTTATCTCAACCTTTGTCACCCAGTTCATGAATCCTGTTTGGTCATTTGGTTTCGCTCTGGCTATTTCTATGGTTTAAAGTATAGCCGCACGTTATTTTCTTACTAACTTGATCTAAATCCATTGAAGTCAATTATCTTGAACTTTCAGTTATGATTATTTCTCCCTTTAACTTATCAGCGTCGTGCTTTAGTTGTTGGCTTTCATTAGGCTTTCACACGGTACTAGTTTACTACTTCGAATAATTGAGAAAACCAAGAAAATTAGATTGAATATTGTACGTACTGTACCCCATGAAGGCTTCATCCCTGCAGGATGAGTAAGAACGAGAAACATCCTCGATCAGTTAAAATTACACGCGTTTCTGTTAGATTCTTGTTGAGAATGGTATTCTTTAGGCTATTAGGAACTAGATGAGATGAATTGCAGAGTGACTTTTTAATGACAGTGATGGAGCTTAAACATATAACAAATTCTCATTATAACATTTCAGATCCTTGGTTAGTACCTGTAGTTCTTACTCCTAAGCAAAGCAATGCTCCTGAAATCCTCCAGCTTACTTACCTGTTTCTGTTAACTTAGTTTATGAATGTGTTACTTTAACTTATTGGAGTAATTAGTATCAATATTAGAACCTAGTTTTACGATAGGGTTAACATCTCACACACACACACGAGCCCTTTTGTGGCTTTTGCGTAGCTCCCCTAAACTTTTTCTCTCTCACAAAGCCCCTCTGAAGCTGAATCTTTTGCCACTGAACCCCCAACTAAAATGTAATGGAATGGATAAAGTTTTGTGAAATTAACCCCGAATACTAATCAAAACCAACACTGTCGCTTATTATTTCTTATAATTTCATGTCACAGGTTGTTGCTCCAATATTCTCTCTCTTACTCCCAAGATACCAAATTAGCAACGCAAACAAGAAGGGGCCTCCTGTCTCGAGGGACCCAGAAGCCTTGCGAGCCAAGTACTCTGATCCATTAGTCTTCACCGGTTCACTGAGAATACGAACAGGCTATGAAATCCTCCGAATTACCTATCATCTCCAACAAAACCTGAACAAAGTCACTGTTCCCTTTCTAGTCCTTCATGGCACAGCCGATACGGTTACAGACCCTACCGCGTCTCAAAGGCTCTATGATGAAGCCTCTTCTGACGATAAATCCATAAAGCTCTATGATGGGTTCTTTCATGATTTGCTGTTTGAGCCGGAGCGGGATGATATATTGAAGGACATTATTGATTGGTTGTGTTGTAGAGTTGAGTGAAGAGCGATAACGTTGAGAAAGTGGTGCGGTGATTTTTAATCCGTGTTGCCACTTGGGCGGAGTTTGTTGAAGAAATTGTGCGTTGTATTGAAACTCTCTTGGGACTGTTAATATAATAAATTTATCAAAAGGATATATTAGAAGGGTTTTTTTTTTTGCATCTTTAATTGTACCACTCTGGGACTGCAGCACGAATATCTCGTTATATCTTCTTTAATTTATGAGATTGTATCGTTCTTGCATGTTATTAATTTCTATATTTTGCTTTAACGGAGCAACAGAGCATTTCAAGATAATCTTAGAAACGCTGGTGTTCTTTACTGTCTGAATATATTGTCATCTTTTTTCCTTGCATGAAAACATTGAGTTATTAAACCAAAACTATGGTAGAGCAGTTTAAGAATGTCTACATTGTGGGCTTGATCTTGAAGTAATTTGACACATCGATTCGGAAATCTGAGTTATAGTCAGTCCCATCTACTATAATTTCTTCTTATTTTGAGCTAGTACTCTCTTCTTTTTTGCGTATTCTTGTATGCATATTCGAGTTTATAATTTCTAATTGATAAAATTTACTGACATCTTGACTCGATTGCTCATAAGATCAAGATTTGAGGATATGGGCTTTCAATCAAGTGCCATAGAATGAATACGAGTCTGAAGCATTTTGAATATTGAGACAGAAACTCTGTTTCGTGTTGAATTTGTTTTGTCTTTGACGCCAGAGGATTGAATTCTTTCGAAAGAGATGCATCTTTATAAGGTTTTTAATGCTATTTCTTGTGGTTTGATTGCGAGTAAGCTCACAACTTGCTCTATTGTCTTATTCTGTGTGTGTATGATGTATATCTCCACCCGAATATATATTTCATCACTTGGACTTGCAACTTGGAAATATTCTATAACTAGGACCATTACGGGCGGAACTAAATAATATATAACAGTGTCATAGTTCAATCTAGAAAGATGTTTAATAAGCAAATATATTTCCAGCTCTCCTTGCTAGAGTTTGTGCTCGACTTTTGTCCAACCAAGATACTCGCACGGATAATGTGAAGGATATAACAAAAGCCTCATGCTTAGCAAGAACAGTAGTAGCCTTCATAAATAATATGAAATGATGCAACATGTTTCATAAGATAATATACATTTGAGTGCTTACCCAATGAGCTGAAAATAACGTGAATAACTTAATTTGCTTGCATCATATTACTCCAAAAAGAATACTAACTTAGAGAAGGTTCAACATCTTAATAGTGTTATAACCATTTTTTAGTAGCAAAAACTGCTTGATCATCTTCTATATTTAGAATTATTTGCCATCAGTATCCCCAAGTTGATAGGGAATCGTTTAGATAATAACAAATAGAAACCCCGTGCAATGCACAGGATATAACATATATGAAATGAAATATTATTTGCATAACGACATTTTTGGTACAAAATGATTAATGAAATCGGTCTTCAGAACATATTAAATCTAAAATTATTAACTGCATACACACAGTAGATTTCAGTGCTTTATATGATGGATTTGAATAATTTGTAAAAGATAACTATCTCATTCTCAGGAAAAAAGAAAATAAAAAATAAAAGTTATCGAGGTATGTTTGAATTTCAAAAAAGTTCAGCGGCATTTATTCAAAGTAAATATCTCATATTCTACATTTGAAAACAGATCTTCATGTTCCAAGTGCAATTCCTAAATACTTCAGAGATGAAGAATATAAAGATGAAAATATGGAGCATCAAGTTTAAAGATATAGTTGAGTCCACTTTGAATAGTAATCTATTGTGAACCGATGACATCCTAATATTTTTGAGTGACATGAAATCATGCATAAAATGAGAAGGACAGGATTATAATATAATTATCCTAATTTCTTACATATATATATTATATTTATAGTTTCATAATTTTTATCATTATCTTTTGGTTGTCATCCTCATTCGACTTACCAAATTCTCCAAGACTCCAACTAAAGCAAATTTCATTTCATTTGAATGGTCCAAAATGGATAACTATACAAAATACATTTTAAAATTATTCAAGTTCAAGATTTGAACAAATGGAGAAAACACATTGTATTATTTTATAAGATGGATTATTTTCTTAAGTTATCAATAGACAATGTTACATTAAACGTTGGGCGCTTCTAGGCGTCGGACTTGGCGCCCAGCGCTTAGTCGCCTAGGCGGGCGCCTAAGCGGTTTCTGGGTATTTTTTTTTCTTTCTTCATTCAAGTGGTGGTCGATGAGGTTTTGCTGAAGATCGGAGGAGGTAGTGGAGATGTTCATATTTGGAGGTTAATGGAGTTTGGAGGACGTGTAGGCTATGTCACATAAAATCACAATCAAGGCCTACAGAGTACAATCTACGTAAGCAGACAATGCTCCCCTAAACGCTCGTAAAATCTAGGTGGGCAGCCTAAATACCGCCTAGGCGCTAGGCGCTAGTTAGGCGACCTAGGTACCGCCTAGGTCTAGACGTACACCTAAGCGGACTAGGCGGAGGTTTTTTAAAACAGTGTCAATAGATAACACATTAGCGAGGCAGCAAATGTTTTCTTTGAAGTTCTCATAATAAATTAGCAACAAGAACTAGAACACAAAAAACCATTATTCCTTTAAGCTTGTTATTCGTTCCCCTCCAATTTTTCATGTGAAAAAACCCCTCCTTAATTAAACTATATCTTTCTTACACTCTAAAGTACCCCTTATCTTCTTCCCCCTCTTTTATATTCTCTCTCTTCTCCACTCCACCTCCTTTCTCTCTCTCTTCTCCCCTACCTCCACCCACCTCCTTTCTCCTCTATCCCACCTCCACTCTCCTCTCTTTTTTGCTCACCCTCCTCTCTCTTCACTACTTTATCCAACTTTATTCTCCTCCTTAATTTCTCTTTCCTCCATCCTTACTCCATCCTCATCCCTCTTTTTTTCGCTTCCCCCATTCTTCCTCCTCCACTCATCAACCTCTATCTTCTCTCCTCTAACCCATGTCCAGTCTCCTTTCTTCACCTTCCTCGTCTTCCATTCTACTTTCACCGTTCTCTTTCTTCCTCCGATTTTATTTTCACGTTCTTTCATTCTTGTTGTCTCATCTCTTAAAGCCGTATTCTTTGACTAAAATAACCATTTTCTAAAATCACACCAAAGTTAATACTTAGAAGGTAAACTTAAGGTCTAAACTTTACAGTTAATGTCTAATAATTAAAATTGACATGAGGTCTAAAGTTAGCATGTGTGATTTAAAACTAACATCTAACAATAAAAGTTAGCACGTATGGTCTTGTTAGAACAAGTGCACAACAAAGTAAAAATAATTGCGAAGAACAAGCGCGAGAATAAACAACAAGCAATCACAAACATAAATATTTATGTGGTTCATCCAATTTGGGCTACGTCCACGACAGAGGCGTCGGAGAAATTCCACTATCAAAGAGAAAGAAGTATAAAACATGGCTAAAGCCTAAACCCTCACTTCTCCTTCTTCAACCCTAAAAAAACATTTAATCTAAATTCTCTCTTTTTAATATTAGGAGACAATAATAGATCAGGAAAGAGGTATCCAAAACTTGGTAGGAGTTGGAGAAAAAAAAAAAAAAAAAAAAAATGAACGGTTGAGATTAAATCATCAAAAATTGCAATCACTGCCATAACTATCGGACATGTCGATGATCTTCTGCAAACTATCAATGGTTCCTTGTAGTCCATTGATGGTTCAAAGTCTAGTTTTTGATTTTTTTGATTGTTCACTATGAGCCATCGATGATCGAAGTAACCGTCGATGATCTCCTCTTGACTGTCGATGATCCATTGGCTAAATTGAACAAGTAGAGGGTTTTGAGGTATAATTTCAATAGGTCTAAGGTTAACATATAAGGTATAAAGTTAATGTCTAACATTTAAAATTATTATAAACATTTAAAAATTGTTAGATGTTAACTTTAGACCTCACGTGTTATCTTTAATTGTTAGATCATAATTATAAGTCTTAGCTATTAACTTTATCTGTTAAGTACTAACTTCAGTGTGACTTTAATAGATTACCATTTTAATCAAAGGAGATGACCTTTTAGTGATGCGGTATTCGTTGTCGGAAAAGGAGGAGGAGAGATGATTGAGAAAAGATGAAAATCACAAAGAAGTTATAGTGACTATGAAAAAGATAGTAGCTGAGAAAACATGAGAAGAAAGAGAAGAGTGATGCAATGACGAAGGTGGTGGAAAAAGAGATAATTATTGAGGAGAAAGCGGAGAAGGAAGAAAATAATTCATGGGTTGAGATAAGGGTGAGGGCGAGGGTAGTTTGGGATAAAAACGGGATTCTCCACATTGGAACTTTGGTCAAGGGGCCAAAATACACGACCAAAAGGTCAATGGGCTTTGTTGATGTCAGTTATCGAATATGTGTTTATCTATGGATTAAAGCAGAGTTAGGGTCATCAAACTCCTTTAAATGACTAGCTCTGTAAATTGTTGTTCTTCTTTGCACATGAAGAGCTAGTGAAAGGCTAGAGTTGGGTTCTCCGGTGATTCCTTCGACTATCAGGTCAGTATATGAACTTAAGTAGGAAAATATGAGATGATGAAGAAGGTTTCAAAGTTGAGCCTCCAAAAATGCCAGAGAGTTACCTCGAGCTGTATAGCTTCTTTTTATAGTGAATCTGAATGACAGATTAATAACTTGAGTTAAGTCCAGGCAGACAGCTGGCTCGGTAGACAGCTGACATGTGTCGACCGTTGGTGAAGATAAGTCATTTAGTTGTTTATTGTGGGAAAGACAGTTAGTGTTTAGAGATAACTAGATCTGATGAGTCATAAAGACTATAGAGGCTAGGGCAATGATGACTTTGTCAGAGTAGTTAATGCATGGGTAGTTGGTTGTCGGTCAGGGGTTTAGGGACACACCGCCTCTCTAGTCACTTGGCTGCTGGCCGACATACACCCCCTTTCTAGTTGGATATGCAAGTTGTCGGTTTGGAACAATAGATCAAGTGCGAGTGTTTATAGGATTGATCAGGTGTGTAGGCTGATAAGTACCGTATTTTTGGTCGACTACACAAGTTTTCGATCTATTGAGTCGGTTGAGGGAGCAGGACGAGTTGTCTAGGCTCTGAACACCTTTGACACTACAAGAAATCAGGTCTTTAACGATAAAAATTAGTTAAGAGACTATTTGATCGTCATTAATGTGTATAAAATAACGACGGTTTTAAAAACC